AAAAAAAAGAACGAAATGTTCGTATAATACTGTTTATTCTTTATTTTGAATATTAGCAGGTTTTTCTTCTTTATTATCATTTGTTTTTTGAGTTTTGGATGGTGATACTGTGCTTCGAGGTAAACTTCTAATTAAAACAGGCGACCGCGTATCTAATGATCCATTCGTTGTTGTAGACATAACATTCATATAATTAAATGGATTTTGTGGTAGAACAGTTGTTACTGATCGTGATAATTGTCCATTTAAATCAGTATGACGATAAGATGTATTATCAACTGTAAATGGTCTAAAAACAAAAGAATGTAAAAATAAAAATTTCAATGAAAATTAAATTTTATACTTATGATAGTCTGCTGAAGTTGTATAAGCTTGGCCTTGAGAATCATAATGTGATACAGGATCAGTTTTAGTCCAATGTGATTTACCAGTATAGAATGGAATATTTGTTTTACTAGAATATATTTATTTTGCCAAAAGAGAAGAGAAGAAGAAAAATAAAACTTACAATGGGTTAATACCAAATTTCGGTTGCTCACTACGTACTAATGTATATGGTTGAAAATCAACTGTTGGATTATCAATGTCTTGTATATTATCACCACCAATTGAACCGGAATAACCAGATATATGATTTGCACGTGGTAATGGTGCGACATTTTCAAGCGGTTTTCGATAGAAATTAAGATTTCGTAATTGTACACGATCCCATTCAAGAATTTGACGCGTACGAGCATCTTGAAGTGATATTAAACGTTTAGATTGTAAAACAGGATCACTTCCATGTACTTCATATGTTGATGATGGCATAGATAATTTTGGTGGTACTTTCGAATCTATATAAATTTAGAAAAAAAAGTTGTTTAATTAATGAAATAATTGTGTAATTGAACGAACCCCATGGAACTTCATCAATAGCTGCTTGTTGAGTTGATGTATACATAAAACGACGAGCAAGTTCATCACGTCTTGATAAATGACTACCAGATTCGTGTTTTCTTGAATGAGATAAACTTGCAGGTGCTGATAAACGTCCTATATTTCGAAGATAATTTTCAGCTTCTCTACAATCTTCTTCAGGATTTAATATGCCTAAATGAATGATTAAATGAAAAAAATGTATCATCAAATAATTAAAATTTACCTCCTGGACCTAATCGACCACGAAGTGCTCGATCTGTAACTAAACGTTCGGTAAAACGTGGTACAACTTCTCCATTTGGACCTTGATCATGTCTAAAACAAAGAAACAAATTCAAACTGATTGATTGAAAATTTTATCATACCGAAGCATTGTAATAGCAGTTGGATGATTGCGTATCGTTGTTACTTCACTTGGTATTATTTGATGAGGATCAAGACGAGCTTTACCTAATGAAAATCGTGCTAATGATGCATTGGACATGTCTGTTGGTCGATGAAATATTTGTTTGACTGGTTGTGCAGAACTTTCTTCAACATGTCTACGTACAGTACTTTCAAAATATCCTTGTCTTTCATAATCATTATCAGAAGTATCCAATTGAACAGTAGTGTCTAAGTTAGGTGCTTGTTGGAGACGATACAGACGTTTCGCTTGATTTTTATCAATAACTGTTGGTACATTATGACCAGCAATACGATAAAATGTTTCCGAAGCAGGTCGAGTTAATCTTGTGGAATTTTCAAGACAATAAGGTTTTGATGAAACGATCTGTGTCATGTTTAAATGAAGAAGAAAAACGAATGAAGATAAAAACTATTACCATTCACATAGACTGATGCTTGGCAACAATCTTTTTTTTCTTTCTATTGATTTTAAAAAATGTAATTGTCACTAGTGAATCAATACAATTCAGAGCCATCTATCGGATTTTCTATATAAGACTTCTATAAAACGTTAATGAATATATGATAGTTGTAAAATAAAATGAGTATCGATAGTTTTGTTACTGCTGTATCTGATGTAACAAATATAGATCGTACTGGATCAATTGTAGGTACGAAAGGTCGATTCAAAGTTATTCATATTGATGAAACAGATGAAGGTATTAGAGATGAGATCAGAACAAAAAATCATATTGATTATATGTCGTTGTTTTAGTATCATCAACACCTGAATTAAAGTCACAATATCAACATGATTTATATTCTAAATCGATACGTCAACATCCATCAAAATCTGAAAATATTGAAAATTCGACTGAAACAGAATTAATCATTGAAAAAGAAACTGGGTTTTTAAAAAATTTATATGATTATCAAGGTGGTACATTTATGTCTACTATTGACAATCTATCTAATTCATCTTCCAATGCTCAATTAAATACTTTATTTGGTGTTTATCTTCCATGTGTACAAAATATTATTGGTGTTATTGTTTTCATTCGACTTTATTGGGTTATTGGTGTAAGTGGAATATTGGAAGGATTGATTATTATTGGACTCTGTTGTTTATGTACTTTTCTTACTGCGATTTCATTAGCTGCAAGTAAGAAAATTCCTTTTGAACAAACTAATTAATATTATATATTCAGTTGCAACGAATGGAATTGTTCCAGCAGGTGGTTCTTACTTTCTTATATCAAGATCTTTAGGTCCAGCTGTTGGCGGTGCTGTTGGATTTTTATTTTATGTAGGCAATGCGTTAGCTGGTGGTTTATATGTTTTAGGTGCCAGTGAAATTCTTTTAAAATATACATGTCCTAATAAGTAGATTTTATTTTGATAAAAATAAATCTATACATTATATTTAGATGTCATTTATTCGGTGCCTCAATTGAAAATCAACAAAGTGCATTTAATCATTATCGTGTATATGGTACAATTCTACTTTGTATTCTTGGTATTATTGTTTTTCTTGGTATAAAAATTGTTTCACGTATCGGTAAATTAATCCGTAATTATTATCAATGAGAAAAATCGATTTTGCTTTTTCTTTAGCTCCATTTACTTTATTAATTGTTTTTCTTTCTATTATGTCTGTTCTAATTGGAATAATTAAAAGTGCTATATCACCTATTTATTTACCCATATGTATTATTGAAAAAGATAATGTTAAACATTTACTGAAATCCTCTATATTAAAAAATAATGTTATACGTTATTGTCATTCGAATATGACATGTAATGGAGAGATCTGTCCGCTTCGACAAGCCATTTGTGAAAATAATATTAGTAGTAGTATCGATTGTAATGATTTAAAAAATGTTTATTTAATAAATGGAATACCTGGTTTAAAAGATTGGCAATTTAAGAATAATTTTAAATCAATGTATATGAAAGATGAAGAAATAAAAAATGGCATTCTCGGTTAGTTGAAGAATTGTGATGAGTGGATATTTAATTTTATAATTTAGGAGATTCAAATGTAGAAGTTGTTAGTAAAACAACAACATCATTTTTTATTTTAGGTAAGTAAAGAATAAAAAAATAATAATTAATAAACTTAGTTTTTTTCTAGTTGGCATTTTCTTTCCAAGTGTAACCGGTATCATGGCAGGATCAAATAGAAGTGGAGATTTAAAAGATCCAAGTCAATCTATACCTCGAGGAACAATATGTAAGATTTAGTAATTTCAAAAGAGATTTATTTTTCTTATAATATTTCTAGTGGCTGTAATAACAACATCTGTAATCTATATTCTCCTAGCATTTCTTCTTGCTTGTTCAATTCAAGGTATACTTTTACGTGATCGTGATGGTTTAAGTATTGATCAACAACTTGTCGAAGCTGTTATTGCTTGGCCATCGCCATATGTTATTATTATCGGAGCATTATGTGCTTGTTTTGGTGCTGGATTACAATGGTAAGTAAATCGAATTTTTATTTTCTAAATGAACTTTATTTTAAGTTTAATTGGTGCACCTCGTTTATTACAATCAGTTGCAAAAGATGATATTATGCCAATATTAAAACCCTTTCAGTCAACATTTCGAAATGAACCATTCAAAGCTTTATTATTTACATTAACTTTATCAGAAATAAGTGTACTCGTCGCTAATTTAGATATTGTTACAAGTATATTTATTTGATTTATATATCATTATTACTTTTTTTTCTTTCTTTAGCAATTGTTTCTGAATTTTTTCTTATGTGTTATTTATCAGTTAATCTTGTTTGTATTCTTCAAACTCTTTTACGTAAGTTCAGACATGACCCAAACCCAAAGTCAAACAGGTTGGCTTTGGGTATATGAGTTTGAGTTTGGGTCATGTCTACGTGTGTTATTTATTGAATAATTAGAATAATTTTTTTAATATAGATGAACCATCATGGCGCCCACGTTTTCGTTTCTATCATTGGTTATTATCATTTGTTGGTGTTGTTGTTTGTATTTCTATTATGCTTATATCATCATGGTATCTTGCATTGATAACTTTAACAATTGGTATTATAGTTTATTTGTATATTTGGTATGCTGGAGCAAATAAAGAATGGGGTGAAGGTTTAAAAGGTTTACCAATGTCAATAGCACATGTAGCTTTGTCACGTTTAAATGATCGACCAATGCATACAAAAAATTTTCGACCACAAATTTTAGCTTTTATTAAATGTAAATATAATGAAAATCAACATCGATGGATGATTGAACATGAAAAAGTACTTGATTTATTAAGTCAGTTAAAAGCTGGAAAAGGTCTTGTTATTGTAGCAACAGTTATACGAGGTTTGACTTAATGTTTTTTTGCTTCTAAATAATTTTTGTTTAGGAAAATATGACGAAAAACGTGATATAGCTGAACAATTACGTCAGTATTTAAAAGAACAAATGATTACACATAAAATTTTAAATGGATTTATTGATGTACTTGTTACGAATAATATTTATGATGGAATTAATTCATTGATGCAAACCAGTGGCGTTGGTGGATTTCGTCCTAATACGGTACAGTTAATTAATTACCGATTAATTTAATAAATTTATGAGAAGTCGATACTATTATGTGTTTCAGACTGTATGCATTGAGAGTATTCAGGATTTTTGCAGTATAAAAAGGAAAAAATATCTCAGAAATTCTTTCTAAGAAATGATTCAAATTACAAAAAAGGTTTTATTTTCATTTAGGTCATGTTTGGCAAGTATTTCCTATATATCTATCTTTATTTGTAATATAAATGCTTCTATAGATTGGCCAACATCATGGGAAAAATATCAATTTGATGGTCATATCGATGATACAATCGTTTCCTATCTCGATTCCATCCGTTTAGCTGAAAATAAAAATTTTGCTATATTACTTCTTAAAAATATTGATTCTTATCCTAGTTTATTAGATATTCAATCTGGTTATATTGATATATGGTGGATAATACATGATGGTGGTCTATTATTCCTTTTAGCATTTTTATTACAACAACATCATGTTTGGAATAAATGTATATTACGTTTATTTACAATATGTTTACCCAATCAAGAACAACATATACGACAACATGAACTTGAACAATATGTTTATAATTTACGTATACAAGCTGAAGTTCATACTGTTACCGTTCCCGATCAAGAAATATCTGCATTTACAAAATATCGAACAATGACAACTGTAAATTCGAAATCCTCAAATCCATTTGATAGAACAGAAAAACAAGTGAATTTCGAAAGAGAAAATCATTTACATCCAACAAGTAAGATTTCATATAAAACAAAACACATATTCATTTACTTTTAGATAATGATCATATTTATTATACATTTACACCATCTGCGATTGGTCAAATAACGAAAGGAAAACGTTTAGAATATACACTTGTTGAAGATTTACAAGTACGAAACAAAATGCACTCAGCAGCTCGACTTAATCAAACAATTCTTGAACGATCACGTAATGCACAATTAGTTCTTATTAATTTACCTAAAGTTCCAAGAACAAATGTTAATGCTGATTATGCATATATTGAATTCGTTGATCAATTATGTGCAGGAATTTATCGATGTATTCTTGTTAAAGGTGGCGGAAGAGAAGTTATAACCATATTCTCATAATTTCGAATATTCAATAAATATAATTGATATACATCACTTATTTTATCTATCATTGACGGAGAGAAATCAGACTCTGTTCGAGACCTTCAGATTTAGTCATAGTAAAGGATAGATTAATCTAAAAATTATTATCAACAGCTCTCTCAAAGGAAACATGTACATACCTTCGAGAAGGCAACGACACACAGTTGTTAACATAGTAATTACAAATAATATAATTCTCTAAAGAATATTATTTTCTAAATATCACGCTAGATAAAATACTAATCAATACAATGAAGTTGAACCTTGTAACTTATTCTATTCTTTTCATAATTATAAAAACTTTTATACATAAAAGCGAAAAATCATTATTATTGTTATTATTCTCTTCAAAACAAGCCCTATACAAATAAAGCAATGATAAGAAAAAAAAGAAGAAGACAACGACTAGTAAACATTCACACACACACACTTACAGACATACAATATATTTATTATACAATGCTCGCTTTTGTCTGATAATTAGATGTGACATTATACCATCCACTATTACTAGCTCCTGATGGTGATAATGTCTGAGTTCTTTCATCACTTGATTCGGCTGAATCTGTAAGCATTTGATCAAGTAAACGAATTCCATTTAATAATGGCGGTGGTTGAGGATATTTTGTTTGATTATCTTTAGTTAATGGATTAAGAATAGTTTGCAGTGTTGGAAAACCATTTTGACGATTTCTTTGTGAATCACTAAGAATAGATTGTGGTTGTTGTCCTAATGTCGATATATCACGTTTCGTTTGTCTTGGTAGTGTACTAAATGTTGATGAAGGAGTTGTTTCATGATAACATGATGAATTATATTGAAATATATCATCGAATAAATTATGTGTTGGATTAATAGTTGTTGGTTCAAAACTAACATTTTTTGTTTGTTGACGACGTGTTGCTTTTCGTGTTAACGTTGTTAGAGCAGATACAGTTGATGATGGAGGATTTTGATGTGAAGAATGAAGATCAATTGATGATGATAATGTACCATTTAACGGACAAGAAAGTAGTGAAGATGAAAATTCACCATCAGTTGTTGATGAACTATTACCAGATGGAATTTGAGAATTCTAAAAAACAAACGATACAAGTGATTGTTAAATCTGATCATATTAGTATAAACAGAAGATCATTCATTAACTCCCACATGGGTCATTTTAAACAATACTCATATGCTCAGTTGAGCAAGAAAATAATCATCATCATCATTTACTCGATTTCCTTTACATATACAGATGCTCAATAAAGGTCAATGTTTTCTCGAAAACAAATAATGCAACATACTTTTCTTTGTTTAACAATAACTGCATAATCATGATTATGATTAGTTGATAAAATATTCATTTTAGTTTGTGGACTATTTTGTTTCGATTTATCTTCATCATTAACAATTAATCGACTACCATATAAATGTTTTTTAACATCTCCGGTATAATGTAAACGCATCCATAAATAATAAATCAATAAAAATATCGTTGAACCAGTTGCTATAAATGATAAAAATATTATAATTAATAATGAAAAATCGGAAAATCGTCGACGCATATAATATAAAAGATTTGTTCCTGATGAACTACGATTATAAATAATAACATGAAAGATTTTTTTTGTTATTAAATCAAGATTTTTTGCAACAATTTCAATATCATATGTTCCAGGTAATATCGATGAATTATATAACCATAAAGAATTATTTGAACCAATATAGAATAATTCATTATTCGTAACGGATAATTGAACAAATGAATTATTTCCAATATCATCATCTCGTACGACAATATCAGTTATAAATTGTGATAGAGGATTTGCTGGATCAGTACGTTGTGATTGAACACCGGATAGACTATGAAGAATTTCATCAGGATCAGGCCAGATAAATACTGGATAATTATCATTAATATCCCTATGAATATACAAGAAAATAGATAGAACAAATAATAAATAAATAAATCTTACTGAATTTTAATAATCACTGTTGTTGTTCCAATTAAACCAGCTGTTGAATTATCAGTAGCTGTAACTGTTAGTTTATATTCATCATGTTCTTCACGGTCAAATATAGCTTCTGTCCATATATTTCCATTTTGATCAATAGTAAATAAAGGTTCACCATCATGTAATGAATAAGTAACATGATCACCATAATCAGGATCATTTGCTTTAACTTGTCCAATAAATGTTAAATTTTTATGTGTTGAATTTTCATTAATAATAAAATAATAAATTTTCTTTTCAAATTCAGGTGAATATTCATTTAAATTCAATATATTAACTTCAACAAAAGCATATGATTCAAGTGGTGGTTGACCATAATCACGTGCTCGAACTTGAAAATTATATTGACGTTTAGATTCATAATTAAATGATGTATTTGTTGTTATAATTCCATCAATTGATGATATAATAAAATAGGGTGTCGGTGGTTCAATTGAATAATTGATTTGTCCATTTAGACCTTGATCAGCATCATAAGCATTAACTTGTCCAATAACACTTGGAATTTGATTATTTTCATTGATATCAAATGTATAATTGGTTTTAAATAATGGTTTTTGATCATTTATGTCAGTTATATTTAAATCAAATGTCATTGAACGACGTAAACTTGGTTGACCAAAATCTCGAGCACGTAATTCAATTTGATATGTTGATGTTGTTTCACGATCAAATCCTTGTAAAGATTTGATTGAATAATAATTTGGACGGATTATTTCAAGATAAAATAGACGACTTGGTTCGATTGTTAATTGAGACTAAAGAAATATTTCAATCTTAATACTTAATGGAACAAAAAACACGTGTTCGTAATTTCACTTATTTGAATTCATAAATCCGATAAGTCTATTCTTAAGCATATTAACATCAATGACTATTTCAATATGTATAGCGATCATGCTCTTGGAATTAATAGTACACTGTTAGAAGAAAAAAATCCTTCTCTAGACTTTGATTCAGATCATTAAACATGTTGTTGGTAATTTCAAAACATTTACCTTGAGTAGTCATATTGTGAAATGTATGTCTGGAAATATCATTTTTCAAAAATAGTCTAATGTTCCGTTCAGTTCTGTCTCAAATAAGTATATATTATATCCTTATTATTCGTTAAAATCAAGTTAGAATTTATAATAAATTTTATAAATATTTCAGAATATATTCTTCGATTTTACTTGAACTATAGTTCAGTGAATTACGTCATCAAATATCTAGAGATGTTTGTTAATCATTCATTCATTCTTTCATACCTTTCCATAATCTCCTGAATCTTGATCATGTACATTTACAAAAGCTATTGGTAAATGAATATCGAAATTTTCAGGTACATAAGCCATGTTTCCATCTTGATTATGTTCAAATTTTGGATTGAATTTCATTTGTATTGAAGGTGCATGATCATTTTGATCGAGTACATAGATATTTATAATACATGTATCACTTAATGAGTTAACACCATTATCATGAACTTCAACTTTAAGTTGATACGATGTATGAAATTCATAATCAAGTGAATGTGTTAATGTTAATATTCCAGTTGTTTTATCCAAAAGAAAAAGACCATTATGATCATTTTCAAGTGTATAGGTTAATTCAGCATTTGAGCCTATATCAGTATCAATAGCACGAACTTTAAGCAAATATTCCGGTAAAGTATTTTCAGCAACTGTAATATTATAAACAGATGATTCAAATTTCGGTTGACAATCATTAATATCACTTCAAAAAACAAATATTTATTTTCTTTCGATAAAAAAAAGACATGTGATTACCTAATTTCAATTGTTAACATTTGTGTACCAATATTTGGTGGATGTCCACGATCAATAGCCATTAATTTAAAAATATATTTTTCAATTTTTTCTCGATCTAATTTTTCATTAACAATTAATTCTAATTCTCGACTTTGATTATCATAAACAATAGAAAATTGATGTTGTTCATGATTTTCAAATGTAACTAAACGATAATGATCAATACCATATGGTGGTGAATCTAAATCAATAGCAGTTTCAAGTGGTATACGATGTCCAATAGGTACATTTTCCGCCATCGATATTGTTGATTCTAATTGAGAAAATTTTGGTATTATATCATTTATATCATGACATGATATTGGTTGAGATAAGATATAATTAAATGGTGCTTGATTAAGATTAACTGTTAATGTTAATGTAAAATTACATTCAAGAACATTTCCACCAAGACATAAACGTTTTCGAACATAATCTTCTCGATCTAAACGTGATTTTAATCGTATACGTCCATTGATATATTCAAATGGTTGACTTGGTTGACTATGAAGTAAAACAGCTTGATCAGGATGTACATTAAGTGTTTGAAATGTTGGTCGAAGATCAACAACAATTGTTGATATTGGACTTTCTTCAAAGATTGATACGGATGTTAAAATTTGTGAAACAATTGAAGAAGAATATGGAATAAGAAACGTTAAAAATATAAATAGATTCAATGGCATTTTCATTGTAGAAATGAACGTATTGACATATATCTATCTGGAATGAGAAAGAGAGAATAGAGAAGAGAGAAGGAAGAAGAGAAGAAAAAAAGGTAGATGAACTATCACTACGTATAGCAAATCATATTCGTTTGGATTTAAGAGCTTTTCTTTATTATTTATTTATGATAAGAAACAAATCTCTATAGAATTTTGATTTTTCTTGAAAAAAAATTGTCCAGCTGTATTTTAGATGGACGAGATTGCCTTTTACTTCGATTGTTCTATTTGAACATCATTGTCACGCAATTATACGATCTCGTCCGTTCACAAACTCTTATCTCTAAGTGATTTGGTCAATTGTATTTACTCGCTCATCACATATATACACACACACAAGGGACAACGAGTTTATGCAATAGAAAACGGAAATAGCCTATCCGTTAAAAAACTTGACACGAGAAAGGAAGAAAGAGAGAGAGAAAGAAGAAGAGTCATTCTATTGTTTTGTTTTTATAATTATCTATACACAAGACGGTCTGTTTTATTTTAAGTATGATCTGTTTATCTCTTCTTCTTTTTTTCTTCATCATGTTCATTCTTTTTATGGACGTGAAAATGAAGCCATATATACGATGAATTCTATTTACTATTATAGACAATAATTATCCCTTTGAACAGCATCTATTAGAGATTTATGTTACATACGTTAGGTGTTCTAGTAGTTCTTTCAACTGGTGTAATGATTATTGATATATGGGAGTGATCACAGATGGACACACGTCTACTACTAGTCAAAATAAACGCACAACGATTAAGCTCTAATTGATAGGATGTCATCAGGCTGCATATATATATATATAGATAGATCTATATATATATATACATAATCATACTAGTGAACATGAGAACTCTTACAATATTGTAGTGTTGCATGTCTGAAGTAAGGGAAGGGCTTTCAAGTAAATTTTACTTCCGAGATTAAGATGAAATTGACACATGCAACATAACATATAGAAGACTAATGATGCATATATACGAAAGCTATTATATTTTACCTAGACGACAAAAAAAAAGGATTTATGTGTTAGTAAGAAATATGAGATAAAAATTCAGCCGAAAAAGAAAGGTGTATAGAAGTAAGAATAATATTAATAATAATAATAACAACAAGAGAACGACACAAAGACAGAGAGAGAGAGAAAGTGAGAGGACAATTAATCAGTAAGACCATATAAGAAAAAAGGTGGTCAGCTTCGCGTGTAGTTTCTAATCATAATAATTTGGAGGAAAAAAAACTGAACATCATCCATTGAGAATCGATCGAGCTAAAAATTAATCTTACGTAAGATGTATATAAACCACAATGGATTTGACAAGAAGGAAAAAATCAGACTTAATATGTAATATAAGAAGAAAAGATGAACCAACAGCAGTATCTTTCTCCCATCACTAGATATCTACCTTCTTTTGTTCTGGTCAAATTGATTCGTTAATCGATATGTTAAGCAAATGTAGAAAAGAAACTAATCAAACCTTCTGAACATAGTGTCATTCTCATATAGATTAAGAGAAAGGAGAAGAATAAGACGAAAGAGAGAGAGAGAGAAGAAGAAGAATCTCTAACAGACTCTATCAAGCAAAGCAAAGTTCAATCACACATGTTTGTACGACCTTCATAGATGGCAAAAAGGAACATAAGCGTGCTCCTATTATCGTTCATCAGTGAGACATGTACAAAAACGGAAACACATCCTGTTATAGTTACATATCAACAATAAAAATTTTTTGAGTGACAATAAAAATACATATGTGTATACATTTCAAAGAAAAATATTTTTCTTTCGTTCTTATTTTTGAAAAAAATTATTAATAATGATTGACTAAAGTAGCTGGTGCTTGTATAAAAATAATCATACATATATATTGCATCATGGACCTCCTAATGTGTTGAGCAAATGTCAATTGTGCGTTAAAAACGCAGTACGTATGAACATAAGAAGTCATCATTGTATGCATGCATGCGCGTGTGCGCGCGCGCCTGTCAATATTTTATCCTTACGATATATACGCATGTGGTGTTTCTACTACAACAATATAATCGTATAATGATTATGACTATACCTGAACAAAAATTACCAGCCGAGTGGTCAGATAAGTTCTAATAAAGTTCAAATGTGTATAAGTAGTCTACTTAACAAAGAAAAAAAATTGATGTTGTTACCCCTGCGGTGATTATGATCAGATCATATTACAAGTTGAATTGATTGAGAAAATAAAATATGAAATTCACCCGGAATAGATATGTTTTTTTTTGCTTATACATATACAAAAAGAAAACTAATACTAGTTATTTCCGTTTTTTATTTGTCTATATGGACAGATGTATTAACCTAGTTGTTCATGATCAAGGTCGGTTACTTTTAAAAACTAACAAAAGAAAAAATGGACATTGATATTATTTCAGTTACAGGTCAAAGATCAAACGTCTGTTGTTGTTTTCTTTTTTATCCTAAGAGAGAAATGGACAATTGTTTGTCAATTGACGTGTGTGTCGATAGGCAGCTGACTACTGTGTAACATGTAATCAAAAATGAACATTTTTGTCTTCAAGGATGAACGGTCTATTGCTGTTGATGCGACTCGTGGGAGTGCACCTGCTTGTCGAAAATAAAATAGGAACATCAATCTGTGTGCATATGTCATAAATTCTATTTTGATACATACTAATCTTCAAATTAAAAATATCTAATCATGATCTATCAATAGGTGTGAATGTTAAACAATAATCTATTGAATTTCTGCTTTTTTTTATAACTTACATTCACCATGGAATACATAAATTTTTATTCGATTATAAGATTGATAGTTAAAATCAATTTAGAAAAAAATACTGAAGATGATAATTATAGTATACTGCTAAGCTTGTGACCATGTTCATGAGACATAAGATGTGGTATCAGAAATAATAAACAATAAGATAGAATGACACAAATTTCATCTAATGATACTTTTTATCAAGGTTATGCAAGTGATAGCCCTAGTTCAATTAATATTAACAAACTGCTGATCTACATAAGAGATTAAGATTGAACATTTCTTCGCATAATATTCAAATTTTATAGGTTAAGAGTATTGTCGTGGTAATTCACAAGGGAAAAAAAGCGAGGATCGATCCTTATTTCTTTCGAATAGACAATGTAAAAATTCTTCATTTTAATATTTTACTCTGTAGTAGTTCATAGAGTTTCAAGTAAATAAAAAAACAATTTATACCAAGGAAGAATTCAAGCAGTGTTTAATGGTTATAATCTTACTTGTTTTTTTCTCACACCCACACCATCCATTACATAAACTAATATTTTATCAAGTTATTATTTAAATTGATTAGAAAATAATAGATTATTCTATGAGGCCCATCATAAATATTTTACAAGTAATTTACTTACATAAACGATGTATATCAGAATGCCAATGAAATCCTTTATTTTCTACATATATATAAATCTAATGTCAACTTGGCGTGTATATCAACGAAACTTTTTAATTTCCTTTGAGGAAAAAAACACATGACAAAATACTTTTTAACTTGAGATATTATACGTCTATGTTTGCATATATGTACATCATCAATATAAATTTTTATAGTCTCTTTTTTTTTTGTTTAAGTTTTATTCTCTTTGTCCACTTGACATAAGAAAGAAAAGACAGTTGAGTAGACAACAACACCAAAAAAATGTGACAGACAAGAAAGAAGTATACATATATATTTATATAATGCTTTTAGATACTTTTTTTTAACGTTTTTTCGAGTCAACAGAATAGAGAAAACAAAATGTGAATCCATACATATATATTTTTGTATATGAAGAAGAAGAAGAAGATCGACACAAAAGAGATCCAAGAGAGAAAAATAAAAGGAAATCATTTGTACATCCAAGACAAAAAGAAAAAGAAGAAGAAAAAGATGAATAGAACTAATTTATCAAACAACACAAACGGATATTTTTCTTAGAAGAAATAATGAATTATGAAGTTCTTTAAGTGCTTGTGGTACATCATCAGCATTGGTTAAAGCCACAACGGCATGTCCTGTTGGTCGACCAGAACTATCTCGATGTATTTTTAATGTATCTTCAATTGGATGAAATGAATGTAAGAAATGTAAAATTTCTTCTCGTGTTGCACGAAAATGAACATTTGACATTAATAAAACTTGTCCACGATATTGATCATAACCAGGTGGTAATTGTGTTAATTGTTTTTGTATAAATGATGAATTATTATTATTACCACCTCCTCTCATCATTTTACGTCCATTTTGATCATCCATTGAACCACCTCCAATCATATTCGATGGTGATTTATCACCATCACCACCACCACCGCGTGGACTTGATGAATCTCCTTTTCTTCTATCAAAACGTTGTGGATCAGATGGTGATTTATCATCATTATTTCCATTATCATCCATACGTTCATAAGGAAATTTTCTTTTTTCACTCATAGGTCCTCCATGATACATTTGTCCACCACCACCACCACCACCGCCGCCGCCGTTGTTGCCAAATTGTTCTCGTCTACCTAAACCACCATTTGCTGAAAAAGTTGCACCTGTTTCATCAGGTTCTTGTGATGTAGCTGCTTGAAATTCCCATAATGATAATGGTCGTAATTCTAATATTCGTCCACCAAATTGTGAACGATTCTTTTCATAAGCTTTTCGACAATCATTACTTGAACCAAAACGTACATAACATTCACCTGCTGGTCGACCTGTTTTATCATATTTAAATAAAATACCATCTTGTGCTACTTCAATTCCAGTAAAAAATGTTTTTACATCATGATCACGTGTTGCATATGGGATATTACGTAAACGAAGACATGTTATTGTTGGTGGTAATTCTAAATAAATATAGATATTAATTCTGAGTAGTAATAATGAGATTCAACTAAAGCTTATAAGAGCTTAGATTACACTTAGCCAAATAAATCTGTCATGTTCTCTTTTATATAAAATAGTTCGAAGAACAGTCCTTCTATATGATTAATTTAATGTATGCGATGAATAGATGAATCGAACTTGTTCGATTTACTAATCCGAACTGGTATAAGACTCAATAGTAAATATAGAGAATAACTAGAAGATGTTCCATATGTTCGTACATTACATATGGACATTTTCTCTATGATCAAATTGTTAGGTGTCTTAGTTTTTTCTCTTTTCTCTTAGAAATACACATATATATGTATGCATATATTTGTTTGTATTCTCTAGTTCGTTCGTTCTCCCTGATCGATCTTTTCATGATTCATATTCATAGAAATTTACCTTCATTATGACGTGGTCGTCGAAGATATGAACCACCTCCTCCTCCAGTATTATCACCATTGGTTTCATCACGTGGTGGATACCGACGTGTATCTCGTTCTTTTGGTGAACGTGATCGTGAACCTAAAATCAATTAAAAAATATATATTTTATTAAACATAAATAATGAATATAAATCTTACGTGATCGTGATCGTGGTCTTGGTCTTGAATCTCCATCATAATAATCTCTTCGACGATTATCTTTTGAACGAAGTGATGCAATTTCTGATTCCATTTCTTTTTTTGTTATCGGTTGAATTTCCAATCGTGATGAACCTAAATTAAAAAGACATCGATAAAATATAATCTATTAATTCGTTTTTTT